CAGCACCGGTCCGTCATGGTGAAGAGGGAGCTGAGTGTAAAAGCAAAGCTCTCAATTTACCGGTCAATCTACATCCCTACCCTCACCTATGGCCACGAGCTGTGGGTAGTGACCGAAAGAACGAGATCGCGGATACAAGCGGCAGAAATTAGCTTCCTCCAAAGGGTGGCTGGCCTCTCACTTAGAGATAGGGTGAGAAGTTCAGTTATCCGGGAGTGGCTCAGAGTAGAGCCGCTGCTCCTCCACAAATCGAAAGGAGCCAGCTGAGGTGGTTCGGGCATCTGACAAGGATGCCTCCTGGGTGAGGTGTTCCTGGCATGTCTCACCAAGAGGAGGCCCCAGGGCAGACCCAGGACACGCTGGAGAGATTATATCTCTCAGCTGGCCTGGGAACGCCTTGGTGTTCCCCCCGGATAAGCTGGAGGAGAGGTGGCTGGGGAGAGGGAGGTCTGGGCTTCTCTGCTTAGGCTGCTGCCCCTGTGACCCGGCCCCGGATAAAGAGGAAGAAGATGGATGGATGGATGGATGGATGGATGGATGGATGGACATGTAGTGTGAACTGTGGGATCTTGAAATACACAAGTGTATCCCTTTTTAAACTGTGTCCAGTTACTACCAGTTTGCCAGCTGGACTCAAATCAACTTCAAGACATTACAGAGTGTGCATGAATCTGAAACCTTGACATGTAGAATAGCAATGGTGGATTTTTGGTATGCAGAGTGGAATACAGCAGGGAGGAGGGGCAGCCCAAACAACAAACACCACTTCTAAAAGTAAACTTCAATTGGTCACAGCAGAACCTCTTATAACCTTAGTGTGACTTGTGGCTGAGCTGCTACAGAACTCTCATTCAATCAATCAATCAAAAATTGTTTAGAGTCACTGATCCTATGAAGAGACATTTTTATTCTAATAGAACTGCTCACATCGAGAATCACAATGCCTCCATCCATAGGACATGAGGGCTCTGAATGAAGATGAAAAATGTGTAAGACAGCAGTCTCCTCTATTAATACTTAAGTGTCAGGTAAACATGTTAATAAGACTTTTCTTAAGACATAATGTCTAATTAACAAAATTACTTTTGTACGCTGATCAAAGATGGTAGCCACTGGCTCATGTGCAATTAAAAAAAAAAAAACCTGCCTATGAAAATAATCAAGTCCATAACAATATTTGCAAACTAGCAGAATTGTTTACTAAAGCATTCATCCATCATGTGCTTATTATTATTAGGGTTGTGGAGGGGATTGGAACCTATCCCAGGTATTAGAGCAGAGCAATATGGCCAAAAATATTTATCACGATATATATTTGAAAAGTTGCGATAATAATATAACTGACGATATAATTGATGTGAGCCAAAATACAAAATATAACTCCATAACTTTACTAGCGCAAAAAAACCCATCAATTTATTTTTACTTAAACAAGCAGCTGTTTTTATGTGCATTAAAGCTATATAAAAATATAACAGTGCAAATGCAAATTCCTTGCTGAAAGTTTAACCAAAAGGCATTTCCAGTGGAAATGGGCTGACATATCCTGAGCATAACTATGTATAATATCCACTAGCATTAAACTGCAGTGTGCCTAATAAAAAGTCAAATAGGTATTTTTCAGACCATAAGGTGCACGGGATTATAAGGCACATTAACAGAAACAAAGCAGTCAGATAAGTCAAACTTTATTCAACTCATTCTTCTTGCTTCCCCCACTTCTGTACCATTGATTCATGCTGTATTCTATCACAGCTGCTCTATTCCCATGTTGCAGTATATTAATGACTAACCTCGTATTGTGGATGGATTATGTCAGTTGTTCTCCTGACTGAAGTTTGGTCCGTTTACAGCATCCTGCCATGCGACTGCATGTGTCCCTAACCATCAGGAACCCTCATGTTAACTTTTATAGCGTGGAAAAAACTTGCCGTTCATCTTCCAGCTTCACTGTTTATGTTATGCTAACATAGCGGTGTCGCTAACGATCAAGTAGCAAATCAATATATACCAGCTAGCCCAACTTCAGTAACCCAACAAACGTGACTGCTGTTTAGTTTTCTGTCTTCATCTATGTTGGAAGTGTTAGCAGAACTGTACGTTTTAATTTTTTCAGAAATCTTTCAGTCAGAACATGGTATGTCATGTTTAGGTAACTAGCAAAACTAGCGCGCTAACTTCCTGCTAACTTTTAACACAGTTAAATTTAATAAATTCTGTTTTCATGGATGCCTGGATGTTCAACTTAATTGTTACACCTGGTAAAGCAGCAATAATGATCATTTTATTAAAGATGAAAAAATTGGCAGTTTTTAACTCTCAGTGTGCAGCAGTGTTCGTTTGACTTTGGGGCCACTCCAAAAAATAATTTCTGTCCACA